GTGTCTAAAGTCGGGGCCACAGGAGCGCCGATGCCAGGGCTCAGACGGCACCCCCTCCACCGGCCCCCCACACGCACTCCACGAGGTTCCCTCAGCTTCCCTGGGTGTGACTCCATGTGAGCTGGCTCAGACCCCGGCTCCTATGGCCAGGCTGCGAGGGACGCCCCCTCCCGCCCCCCACGCTGGCCGGGTGAGACTGAGATTTGGTGCCCCGAGGCTCAAGGCTCCCCTGAGCCCTGGGGCGGTGTAGAGGACGGGAGAGCCGCCGTTCTCCCTGGCTTCCGCCCCGGGCGCGGGACCCTGCGGTCGGGCACGCACCCAGGGCCGCCCTGAGCCGCCCGCCGCCTCCTGCATCCCGAGGCCCGGCGCCCTGGCGGCGTCTGAGCGTAGTGCGGCGGCCGGCCACGCGAGGGCGGCATGGGCGCGGCAAAGGCTGGGCTGGCCTCCCCCGACCGGCTTCCAGCCCTGGTGCTCCCGCCCGGGACAAAAGCCGCTCACATTCAGGGGGACTTGGGGAATGCCAGATGCCACCCAGCTGGACGCGGGGCGGCACAGGGAGCCCCCAGCGGCCACTCCCTTGCGGTCCTCTGCCCCGGACCCCGCAGCCACCGTCAGTGCCGCCCAGGGTCAGCCGCCTTGGGGCGCGGAGAGGCCCCTCCCTCCCCCTGCCCGGCCTGCGGAGCCGGGACCCTCCGAAGCCGCCGGGCCCCCCGCGGGGCCTGGCCATGGGGTTGGCTTAAGAGCCAGTGCTGGGCAGAGGCCGGGCCGACTTGGCATCCTCTCCACAGGGCGCCGAGGCCGCCGCCTCCGCTGCCTCCGCGTCCTCCCTCCCGCTCCTCCCCCGCACGCAACGCACACACGTGCACACGAGGATAGACATGATTGCACCTGCACACGTGTGTGCACACGCGCACTTATGTACACACACGCTCCCACGCAGGCACGCGCATGCCCGTGCGCACACACGCTCACACACACACACACTGGACGTGCCCCTCCGGTGCCCCAGAAATCGGGGCCCTTTTTCTGGCGCCAGGGCAGGGAGGCCTCAGATGGCACCTGCGGGCCGCCCCTCCCCCGGCCCTTTTGCGTCACCTCTGGCCACGGATACTGGGGGCAGCAGGCTGAGGAGGCCGCAATTAGAACCTTCAGGTGCCCACGTCACCGCCCATCAGGCAGCCTGGCAGCGTTGCCATGGGAACGGGCCCCTGAACCGACAGAGGCTCCGCGGGCGTTTCCATGGAGAAGGGCTGGTTCTGCAGCAGGCGGCGGGCGCCGATCCTGTTTGCCTGGCATGGCCACCACCGGGGCCTCGTGGAGCCTGCTCGTCCACCTCGGGGGCCGGGGCAGCACCCCTGAGCTGCCTGAGCCCTCTGCCCAGTCCCGGGCCCACATCCTGGCAGAGCTTGGGGGCTCGCGGTGAAGGCCCGAGGGGCCACCAGAGAGGTGGGGCACTCGCCTGAGGACACACAGCTCTGGGTGGGGGGGGCAGGCGCCTGCTTTGGGCTCCCAGTCCTGACTCTCCCTGCCCCAAGACTTCAGTTGCCCAGCAAGGAAGTGGCCACTCCAGTCACTCCAAGCCAGCCGAGCCCAAGAAGGCCCAGCCCAGAGCGCAGGGGGAGCCTGGGGCCAGGCTGGGCTATGGGGCCGCCAACCTCCTCCCTGGAAGGGCCTGTCCGGCTGCTGAGGCCCAGCGCCAGCCCTGGAACTGGCCTGGACTCCAAAAACATAGGGGTTCACAAGGAAGTAGGGGGGGTGAGGCCGGGGGCTGTCCCTGGAGGGCAGACGTGGGCAGAGTGAAGCAGGAGAGGGAGTCACCCCAGCAGGGAAGGGGCACAGGGGCCTGGCCTCCCTGGCTGCGGAGCTGCCAGCACCCCAACCCCACACTCCACCCCCAGGCCTTCAGCAGCCTGGACACCAAATAGCCCGCTCTGCGCCATCCTGCCAGGATGACGGGGCTGAAAGCGGGTGGGCACCTGGCGGGGGGCACCGGGCAGGAGGGGCCTTGCTGGCTACCCTGACCCCGCAGGTAGCCTTCCCACGTGCCCCTCTGCTCCTGGGCACCTCGGGGCCCTCGGGGGCAGGCCCTGTCCCCTGAAGCTAGCAAGAGCACCCGAGGTCTCTCCCGTGGCACCCAGGCCCCGCTAGCTAGGCGGCTGCAGCCCCGCGGGGGTGTGCACGTGTGGGACCCCAGCTGCCGGGGGGCAGTGTGGGCAGGAGTGGGGAGGTCCGCCTCAGCCGGCCCCAGCCCTCAGCTCCGAGCCCCCCCCCCGCCCCCACAGCAGGCACATCCTCTGACCACCACCCCCTGCACCCTCCAGCACCCTCCGAGCCCCCCAGCTCCAGCCCCTCCCTGCTTCTGCTATCTGCAGGCTTCTTCCTCCACCTCCACCCTCCCCCCATGCCAAGGCCCATCCTGGGTCTCCCCTCACTTCCCACCAGAGCTCCCAGGCCTTGGAGTAACACTAAGACTCAGCCCCATTTTCAAAGTGCCCTCAGCCTGTGGAGGCGAGGGACAGAGAAGGGCCCCCCTCCGCTTCCTTCCAGGGGCCCCACTGGCCCGTTGTGGGGTGCACTGCGGGCTGGAGAGCTTTGGGAAACACTGCTCCCTCTGCCTGGAACCCCAAGTTACCTGGGAGCGGGTTGGGGGCAGCTGGGTGCCCCTGGGGAAGGGCATCTGGGCAGCCCGAGGAGGTGCCCCTCTTCCTGCTGTACCCCTGAGAGTGTGGTTCTCAAAGTCAGGGCTACGGGCACCCAATTGTCCATGGAGGACCAGCGGAGCGGGGCGCACCCCCTCTGGGCAGAGCAGCCTGAGGCTGTGCTGGCTCGGGGCGGCTGACGGCCCTTGTCTCTCTTCCCCCAGGGGGGCGTGAAGGTTCTCATCACAGGCCCGTGGCAAGAAGCCAGCAATAACTACAGCTGCCTGTTCGACCAAATCTCAGTGCCTGCGTCCTTGATTCAGCCCGGGGTGCTGCGCTGCTACTGCCCAGGTGAGGCCCGGCCGGAGCTCGGGGGAGGCGGGCAGGCCGCGGGCCAGGTAAGGTCTGCTGTCCTGGCTGCTGAGCCCCCCCCAGGCAGGGCCCGGGCAAGCGTGGGCGGGATTTTTAAGAAAACAGGACAAGTCAGAACCAATAAACCGGGCTGACACCCCCCTCCGACCCCGGGGCTGGCGCCTGCACCTGGCACCTGGGTCCCGGGCAGGATGGGGCAGCCTCCAGGCAGTGGGGGGAGTGTCAAACTAAGAGTGGCTGTGAGAATTTGGGGAGCGAGCCCCCAGGGCCCAGGAGAAGGCACACCTGCAAAGCCCACTCCCGGCTCGGCGGCTCCTCG